CAAGGCCAGGAAGGACCATTGTGAACCGTTCCTCTAAGCTTCTATACTACACAAGCCGAAGAACTTCCCTGAATTAATTTTGATTTGAAGTGGAGCATATCTTTTAGAGAAACAATTTTGTTTAAAAAATTGCCAATGATGGAGAATCCATCATAACTCATGAGAAGTGGCTCCAATGGTTAATTACTCTCACTGTCAAAAATGTTGCTTTATTTCTATTTTTCATTTGTCTAGGTTGAGCTTTCAGCCATTTGATCATGTTATTGTAACCACTACCAGGCAGATTTAAATCTCTACCATTGAGCTATAAAGCCAGCTGGCTCTCAGCTTAGGTTGTAGTGCTCCTTTGTTCTTATCTCTCACTGTACGTGGTCTAAGTGCAACTACATGGGACAGTGACCCACACTAGATAGGTGGGTTACATTATATCTTTGTCTGCTAGATTGAAAAGCCTTCTATTATCAAATGTATGTTCCCCATGTATTCATAGCCTCTGATGAAGTCAAGCTTCAACCTTTGGTAAGTGAACATATTGAGTTCCTTATGAATATCGCTATAAGGCATGTTTTCCAATCCTCTAATTATTCTGATGGCTTTTGATATGTGGATATGCCAATATATGGATATGTGATTGGAGGTCATTCAGAAAGAGGGCAACATTTCCCTTCTTGAGTCCAGGCCCATCTATCTATGCCAAGCACAAATTAAGCAAATTATAAAGGAGCTAGTCAACTTCTGAGGAGCTGGGATGGCTTCCCACTGTTCTTCTGCCTTCAAACATCAGCAGGTTCCGAGGAACTCTGCAGAATGTGTACTAAAGATGCACTGATGTGGAACAGTAGATTTTATCCAAAGCCAAAAGAGAAAGGAAGTGGGAGGGCAGAGTACAAGGGGACTGAGTACAAGTGGCCAGAGTAAAGCGACCACACTCTGCTTGAAATAAAATGCCACAGCCCCTTGTGGGTAGTGAGTGTGCACAAGAACAACAGAGGAACCTTAGCCACTCAACCAGGAATACTATTTTTTCTAGGCCAAAATGGGATTCACATCTCTTGGTATTTCCAAGACAGGTAGCAGTGATTCAATCTATCAGATATGCCAGGGTCCAGGTAAAAGGTGTCCTTTTATGACTGTAGGAGAAATGACATGATCCTTTCTCAATTGATCTCTGCATGAGTGCTACTAGGTCTTTTCTTATTCTCTCCCGCCCAGTTCATTGATTCCAAGGCCAGGAAGGACCATTGTGAACCGTTCCTCTAAGCTTCTATACTACACAAGCCGAAGAACTTCCCTGAATTAATTTTGATTTGAAGTGGAGCATATCTTTTAGAGAAACAATTTTGTTTAAAAAATTGCCAATGATGGAGAATCCATCATAACTCATGAGAAGTGGCTCCAATGGTTAATTACTCTCACTGTCAAAAATGTTGCTTTATTTCTATTTTTCATTTGTCTAGGTTGAGCTTTCAGCCATTTGATCATGTTATTGTAACCACTACCAGGCAGATTTAAATCTCTACCATTGAGCTATAAAGCCAGCTGGCTCTCAGCTTAGGTTGTAGTGCTCCTTTGTTCTTATCTCTCACTGTACGTGGTCTAAGTGCAACTACATGGGACAGTGACCCACACTAGATAGGTGGGTTACATTATATCTTTGTCTGCTAGATTGAAAAGCCTTCTATTATCAAATGTATGTTCCCCATGTATTCATAGCCTCTGATGAAGTCAAGCTTCAACCTTTGGTAAGTGAACATATTGAGTTCCTTATGAATATCGCTATAAGGCATGTTTTCCAATCCTCTAATTATTCTGATGGCTCTTCTCTGAACCCTCTCCAAATTATCAACAATAATTTATCCACTTTATCAAAAACATTGACTTGCTCATTCTTCTCCCGGGGCATAGATGACACCAGCTATGGTGCTGCTGCCAACTGTTCTTGTTTCTCTAGAACTTTCAGTTCCATATTGGATGCAATAGCAGCCAATGACTCAGCTTATGACCACCCTGTTTGGCAATAGGGGCCTTGTCCTCCATTAACCCATCCAGCTTTGGAAGCACTTTTGAAATGTCTCAGTTGGCTTCTCCTTGAAATCTGTCCCTTGGTTGCAATACACATCAGTTTCTGAGGCATTTTGTGGGAGGATGATGGTGAGGCACCTAACATACCCTAATGAACACATGGGGGTGATCATATTAGACCACTAGACTTGCTAAGTGAGATAAAACCACTGGTCCATTTTCAAAGCCAGTCCAAACAGGGTCCTAAGTAGAACTGGTCACAAAATTTCTGCTGAAACACTTATGTTGGAAAATGGTGATTCAACAGAATTGAAACTCCATCCCTAGAGTTTTTTAAGTCTCAGCTTGACAAAGCTCTGGCTGGGATGATTTAGTTGGGATTGGTCCTGCTTTGCGGAGGTGGCTGGACTCGATGACCTCCTGAGGTCTCTTCCGGACCTATGATTCTATGAAACATTTTACATGGATTTGTCAAATCCATCAGAAAAAAAAACTTTCAATGGGAATGTGAGGGGGTGTTCATCCATTCTAGCCAGAAAAGGCTAGATAGAGCCCAGGTGAGAAGGAACAGCCATGGCTGGTATAAAGGCAGGAAATTGGTAGCAGGATGGGTCTAATATAGGTGGTTCAAAAGTCTGCAATCTTAGGAATTATGTTTAATAACAACTAACTTGGAGGATCATATAGATAATATCAAGACTAAATGTAATGATAAGCAGAAACACTACTCTAACATGTCATTGGGAACAATTGAGGTTCAGATAGGAACATACTGGCAATGCTGTAATAGAACATTAATAAGACCAGTTATAGATTATGGATGCCAAGCCTTTAAATCAATACTAACAAAATTGGAGTTGATGTAAGCCCAAGCTCTGTGAAGCACATGTGATATGATATTGCAGCTCTGTTGTGTGTGCTGCTGGTAGCATGTGAGAAATGCCTATAAATTTAAGGATGAAATTGTTAGAGTTAACCTTTTGGACTAAAGTTAATGGAAATAGTGAAAATGAGAGTGTACAAAGACTGTTGGCAATTAAATAGACAAAAAGTAACTGAGTGCTACAAATTCTGACAGGCTCATAGAATCAAAAGGTGAGTAAAAGAAGTGGGTGAAAAGAAAGTCTGGAAGAAATTAAAATCCTTGATGGTTATCTCTCAAGTTGTATATTTGAAATTATATGATAAAAGCAGGTTCATCAACTATGATGAGTAAGAGTTATGAGTTTACACATGGCAAATGCAGTCTGAATTGTCAAATCTGTGCAGATAGTTTTAGAGATGAATACAGATGGATGGGGAAAAGCCTTTTGTATCCCTGGATTTGGAATTAAGAGAGCAATGGGACTATCCAATTTTGTGACCATTATGATAGCTGACTTGATGAGCATACTGTTGGCACTGACCTCGATAAGGGATGTATGCTATCCTATCTGAATCTTTATTGGGTATAATGGAGATGAGAAAGGGCACCTCACAGA